TACTTCCTCTCCTGTCCGATACTTCCTCTCTCCTGTCGATACTTCCTCCCCTGCTCAGATACTTCCTCTCCTGTCGATACTTCCTCTCCTGTCCGTACTCCTCTCCTGTCCGTACTTCCTCTCCTGTCCAAATACTTCCTCTCCTGTCCGATACTCCTCTTAACTGCCTCTTGGTTTAAATGGCCTCGTTAGCCTTACCCATCTAACCTTACACTTGTCTACAATGCCAGTACACACACACACATACATATACATACATACATACATACATACATACATACATACATACATACATACATACATACCTGCCTCTCACGACCAGGTATAGACAATAATGTGCCGTGTGTGTGTGTGTGTGTGTGTGTGTGTGTGTTGTGTGTGTGTGTGTGTGTGTGAAAGGGTTGTGTAGTATCATGATGGTCTGTGACGAAGGTAAAGAGGTGGAAGTGAAGCTATGTTGGAGAGAGAGAGAGAGAGAGAGAGAGAGAGAGAGAGGAGACTTGACTGTCACTCATATTCGTAATACCATGTTTGTCTCTAATTAAGGCGGATCATATGTCATGTTTTGAAGGAGTCTCTAGGATTTGGAGGAGGGGATAGGGTTGGAGGAGGTGGGGGGTGTAGGGTTGGAGGAGGTGGGGGGTAGGGTTGGAGGAGGTGGGGGTGGGGTTGGGGGGTGTAGGGTTGTGGAACTTATGGGCGTGGATGACTTGGGCGGGTGTGGTTTGGGTGTGTTAGTGTGGGTGTCTCAACTGGAAATAACAGGATGTGTGTGTGTGTGACCCAAGCTGGTATGTGTGTCTGTGTGTGTGTGTGTGGGCGTGGGTGACCTGAGCGGGCGTGGGCGGGGGATGATGGAGGTGCCAGTGTTGTTTTTTGTGCCCCAAGACCCGTTACCCGAGATACCCCCTCCCCCTGCCCCTCCCCTGCCCCTCCCCCCTCCTTCCTATGATGGTCATTGCTGTGTGTTGCATGGCTCTCTGGGGTCATTACTACATGTTGCATGGCTCAAGGGGTATGGCTCTGCTCGTTGCACGGGTTTAACTACGTACGGGTGATTGTTGCTACGTCTTGCACGGATTTAACTACGTACGGCTGATTACATATACGTATTGCATGCCTATTGACTCAAATGACGGTATTACGGAGTGGAGATTGATGAAATACGGACGATTGATCGAAATATGATAATGCTTAGTCATATTATGGAAGATTGATGGATGAAAAAACGACTCAAATTACGGTAACGTGTAGTATACCTTGTCTACTACTATGGAGACGTGACTAACGCTGCCTGGTGACTAAACTTAAAAGGGAAACCACCGGCGGAAGTGACTCGCCCAAGTGACTCAACCTGACGGAGGGAGAGAGGAGAGAATACAGACTCAGAGGAATGGAGGGAAGAGAGAGACAGGAAATTAATATTGACTGGCTTAGAGTGAATGGGAGGGGGCTGATGGGGTTACTGGGGTAGGTAAACAGAATGAGGTTAAATGAGTGAGAATGAATGAATGGGTGAGTGAGTATATGGGGTGATTGAAGCTCATGGGGGTGATTCATAAAACTCCGGAAGGGTTGGGTGACTCAGGATGTCTGACTCATGGGGATGGGTGAAGCAGGTGGTAGTGGTGGTTGAAAGATCTCCAGGTGGTCTCCTTCTTATTAGCATGTTGAGGTGGAGACTCACATGTACCCATCCTTGGCCTTGGAGACGTTTTAGTTGTTGGAGGACGCGGGGCACGACCTTGATGCTGCCTGCACCTGGAGACATTGTTAAACTTGGAGACATAAAGACATAGTTACACCAGGAGACATGAGTACACCTGGAGAACACCCCACACTACAGAGGACACTTGTACCTAGTAGGAGATACAGGTAAACACAGGTGAGTGAGGGCGGGGCAGGTGAGGGAGTGGCACACCTTACTCGTCACTGGGCACTTAGTAAGCCGGCCTGGACTCCCTCATATGGTCGCCTGGTTGGAAAGACGCCCCATCATGGTGGACGCTAATGGTCGACTGAACTATTCTCCTGAGGACCTCCGGGGTTGAACTAAGGCCAGAAAGTGTGAGCATACAACTCCTTATTCTCTTAGACAATCGTGGGTCAAATTCTTACCCATAACAAGATGTGAGGACCAATCAGACACGCTTACTTTTAACTACTGTCCAACACGTGATTGGTTATTTAGAGTGTATTGAAGTTACATTGGATTTGATGATAGTTAAATGTGTCCAGTCCTCAGTTATGGGTTTAATCCCTTTACTACAGGGCCACCATGTTTGATATTGTATTTGGTAACCCCAGGCTATGTTATCCAGCTCAGAGGTGGACCCCTTACACCAGGGGTCAGTAGACTCCATTAACTCTTGTGTTTTGAAATAAGAACTGGTAGTGGGTTAAGCTTTTTACCGGTAGCCCAGATGGCCACTAGTTCTGCAACACATTAAATCGTGACTGTTGATTCGGTGGGTGACCCCTTGATGCCCCTGGCTTCATTGCATAACACACAGGGTCGTCGGAGTAGGCAGGTCCACTGGGGTCATGGTGGGGGGAGGGGGGGAATCGAAGTGGAGAGGGAGTGAATTTTGTGGAAGAGGGAGGAAGGAAGGAAGGAGGGAGGGAGGGAGGGAGGGATGTTGTTAGGCAGGTCATTGGGAGGGGCGTCAGGAGGGTTGTGGAGGGTATTACTCCTATTTAATGGACCAGTTTATCATAGAATGAGCTTGACCATCAGTCTTACCTCCCCCTCCCACGATTACCCCTGAATATTTACACCTGGCGTACCACACACAGGAACAGCCCGAGTCCCACAGGTGTTGTAGGAACTGGTGTAGTGCTTCACCTATACACACCATCAACACGGGGTCACTATTCTTACCGTGTCGTCATCGGGTTATTTTTGTGAATGGTGTATTGTGTGATTTACCGTGTACACTTAACAGCAGAATTTTTGTACACGGTGTTAGATGAAGGTTTGACCTCTTCTAACCTAACCTGACCTAACATAACATAAGTAGATTAACTGTTGCTTAATGTTATTACTTATGTCGTCATAGGGTTGGTGATGTAATCTTGGTGGTTGCGAATAAGGTCAGGTCATGATGGTAGCTGGTGATGTGTTAAACCCATGGTAGGTGGTGGCAGGGGTGATGGTAGGTGGTGGTGGCAGGGGTGATCGTTGGCAGGGGTGATGATAGGTGGTGGTGGCAGGGGTGATGACTGTTGGTAGTGGTCACATTATGAGTTCTTGTTGATACTGGTGGTGTCAGGGAGGTCATGGTGGTGGTACTTGAATAAAAGTAATGGTGGTAATGATAACTTGTGGTTGTCAGGTTGAGTTCAGGTGCGTCCTTGGTCCAGGTACGTTAACTAGGTCGAATGAATCATGCTTGGCACCTCGCTCAGCCTGCCAGTCACCTCTCACCTGGACATCTCGCCTCCAGCACCCCGGCGGTTTCTAGGGCTGTCTTATCTGTTAAAAGGGACACCTAGGGGAGAAGAAGGGAGGGTCAGGTGGAGATAGAGAGAGAGAGAGAGAGGACCTGAGGGACAACTTACACGCTTAGGTGACTACAGGACCGTGTAGGCATTAGCAGGAACAAGAGACCGACATTAGTGGAAGAAGGAAAATACCTGGAAAGATTAGTTTAATGGTGTTCAGGTAATGTAATCGAGTGAAGGTGATGTTTGTGTTTTATTGGTAAAATATGGCTGTTGTTTTTCATGAAGTTAAAATCTGTGTGATCGGCAGCAAAGATTTTCCCTACTCACAGTTGCCCCACACTGACACGAGGAAACAAAGGCGCCCAACAGGGAAACAAATATGGAGTTGGTGTTTGCCATCTTGACGGTGTAGGACCAAAGGCAGACGAAGGTGTCATGAGTCAGAAGGACAAGTCAGTGCATCAGGGCGGAGGGTCTGGAGGAGGAACTTATGTGACGGGTCAAGGGTGCGGTGGTGACTAGATACCGAACGTCACCCGGGGAAAGTGTTTTCATGTTCGTCTTAACGGAGCGAAAAAAAAATCATAAAAATACCCTTGATGACGATGATAAACACTCACCTGTATACTTAGAGGGGAAGGATGAGGATATAGGAAGTAGAAGAGAAAGATACTATCAACCTGGTAATGGGGGGTGTGAAGGTGAGAGAGGATAAGGTCAATGGCAGATGGCAGGATGAGACATAGGTTAGGTCAGGACACTCAAGTGTACTGAAAGTCTCACCATAAAGGTTTACTGAAGCTTGACCAGGTGACCAACTAATTGTTTCGTGGAGGTTATTCATTGATGTGTCACTTCCTAATCTGAATATGACTCAGGACCTCAGCGCTGAATCACCTGGGATGGTTCCTTGTTAAAGTTGTCATAAAAAATGGTTGACATCACTATTTTCCCATTGTGGTAGAGTGCATAAGGGGCGTGTGTGACCCTGATGTAAGTATAATGAATGGTGGTACACAGTCAATGGTGGAGGCTTGGTGGTGAGGACGACGGAGGGAGGGGGGGCAGGTTACGCTTTTTGAGTCTGGCAGGTGAAAGGAAATTCGACGTCCGCTGAGCCCAGTTGACGATCCAGGAGTCCAGGGACTTTTCCCCTCGTTTCACTTTATTGAGTTTGTTAGGCTGAGAACAGAGTGTCTTTGTGGTGATGGGTAATTGAGGGAAGTGATGCTTGTCGTGGGCGAGGAACCTTGAGTCTGCTGGGCCCAGTCACTGTTTTCGCTTGGCTGACTCACTCTTGCCACAGCCGCCCAGTTGTCCCAAAGTTTGGGTAACCATTACGAATATGGAGATTTTCTCCACCACCACGTGTGAAATATGCTGTATCAGTTTGTTGATACGACGCCAGATTTTATATTTTATATTCGCTCACGTGCAGACCCGGGAGCAGGTACCGTGGGAATTAATGAGAGGGGTTGTGAAAGAGGTGATGCTGGAGTGAGTATTGGTGGAGGCGGCCGTGGTGGCGGGGTCCAGCGTAGCTCTGTGCTCAGTGCGTCGTGAGGCGCCGTAGGGAAGACAGGCGGTACACGTACCACCCGTCCACACGTTGTCGCGATTGTCCTTGTGTTTTGTGTCCCTGTGGGGGTGTATCCTATCGTGTAAACGTGACGGAATCTGGATAACCCTGGGTGTTTAGTGCCTCAGGCGGGCGAGTGTGTGATGGTGGGGCTGAGTGACCTCTGGCCCAGGTACATCACGAGTGCCACCAGCCAGATATGCGGGGACATAACACACTCTTGTCCCTGGATGCTCGTGCCTGTGTGTCCCAGCACGTGTCATGCACTGCCGTCACCAGTGGTAGTGTGAGAGACAAGTGACCGTTGTGTTTTATGTACTGAAAACTAAACTACACCAAGAGCTTTAAATGCATGCCAAAGATGATGCGACACCTTATGTAAGAGACTCAGGACGGTGTCAGTGCTATGATGGCAGCGTCAGGAGGTGCCAGTGCCGTTGTGGGGGAGCGAGAGGCGCAGAAGGCGGCGGAGGGAGCACCCCGGCCACCATGCAGGACAAGCAACAGGTGGCAAGATGGTGCTCCAACTCAGACCTGCTGTGTCGGGTCTTCACAGCCTACCTCACCGTGTGGTTGGGCTGGGTCGTCCCCCGGGTATGTAAATTCCATATGGGATTACTTAAAGTCGATTTATCAGTAATAGAGTCTGCGGCCCGTGTAGCGTGGCGCAGCTGAGGGAACAGGTCTTGCCTGCATTATACCTGTAGGGGTAGAGGCGGGCAGCACCGTTAGGCCAAGGCTGTGTGCCCACCCAGAACTCTTGGCTAAACTGGATGCCTTGACGTCACTCGTGCATGGCTAATTGTCGCGTTTATAGGTGCAAAAGATCTTGGAGGTGATAAATGATTTGCTTGACATTGAATTTAGTAAGTGGAATGTTTTGACCCGCGGAGTTGAACCTAGTGTTAGGGCAGTCAGTAGTGATTCACTCTGAGGTGTGTGTGTGTGGGAAGTCGCAGTTCAGACACGTGTAGGTTGGTGGTGGGAGTGGAGACCGGGAGCTTGACCTGAGTTACCACACAGCCTCCTAGTGGGGTCACCTGCCTGACGTGGATAGCACCTGACCTAACGGCTAACATGTCTCCTAAGGGGGGTCTCCATTACCTGACTTAACGGGTGAAACGGTCTCCTAGGGGGGTAACATGGCCTCCTAGGGGGTCTCCAACACCTAAATTGCAGCCTCTCACTCATCCAGTAAAGGTCAAGCGGCGTGTAGAACATTAACGTTGTCTTTACTCTGTGTGTGTGTGTGTGTGAATCAGTAATTTATTTTGTACATTTACCACAAGAAGAAATACATTACTTCAAACTTTAAAATATCGCGAATAAATTGAAACTTGTTTTCCCTAACGACTTCACCTGTAAGATATGTTCACCTGTTAGTATTAGGTATATGAATCAAGTAATGAAAGTAATAATCATATTTGTCCTATTAGTATTGGTTTGTGGTACAAAATAATAATAATAATAATAATAATAATAATAATAATGCTACAACTACTAACAATAATAATAATAATATGATCAGGTGTTAAGCCTTGATACGTTACAAGAATATTAAATCGTTGGTAAAAATAGTTACCTGGTACACCTATCTCACCTGAGAGAGCGGCCCAACACGAACACTTTTACCTGGTGTAATTTGCTCAATATCCCCCCGTTTACCTGTATAGTGATGTCTTGTACCTTTTTACCTTAAGTCACGTGAGTGGGAGAGCTACGTGTGGGTCTTGATGAGGGCGACCAGGTGTCACTCAGGTGGTGTAATTAACTCCCGAATTTGACCATATCTACCTGTGTAATGGTGGGGGTGTGGCTGGGTATGTGTCTCTCTCTCTCTCGTGAGTCATACAGCTATTGCTCATTATATCTTGTGGTGTAGGCTATAGGCCATAACGCAGATGAAGAGCGTATCTGACTGCTCATCGTGTATAGGTATTTCCTGGAGGTGATTAGAGAGTGATGGAAGTGGGCTGCCGAAACCACAACTACCACCACACTGACCACAACTATCATCACTACTACTACCACCACTACTACCATCAATAGCCTTACCACCACTTACCATCACAACCAATACACCTTTTTCACCTTTACACACACACACACCTGGTCACTCCTCTTTTTCCTTAAGTTACCTGGATATTATTGTGATTAGTGTTATTATTGCCAGGTGTGGGTGGACGCATCTCCAAGCCTTAATTTCCCACGTGTTACTCAACCAATACAAATTACTGGGTTTCATTATCGTCTCCTGGCGTTATCACTGTCATCAACCCCCGTCACGGTTGTGGGTGTGACGGGAGGTGGTGACAACAATGCTATACTGGGCCCGTCACCAGTCATTGTTCTCTTAAAGACACTCAAATGTGATGATGCTCCAAGGTTCTTTAGGGAGACAAAACAGTGATTTATTTATTTATTTTAGATTTTGTTTCTTGATGACAGGAAATATTTATTGATTAAATGAGAGAAATGGGACGACATTAGGTTCTGTGGGGCTACCTTACCTCTCTCTCTCTCTCTCTCTCTCTCTCTCTTTACACGATATTTCTTCCTCGTTTCATGTCTCAGGGTGATGGCAACACCACCAGGTAACTATTTCCAGGTTAAATTGTCGATAATTGTTTATACCTATGGAGTGTTTACTGATCAAACAGGGAATCGTGACGTAGGAGCCGCTGACGTCATGCCCTGGTGTGGCTCTCCTGCCCAACACCCACCATACCACCTTCACCTACCTGGACGAGCCACACCTAGACCGAGCCACACGTTGGAAAAGATTAATAAATACTTAAAGATTTCTTCTGTGGGATTTCTCTTATTTCAACAGAGTAATTTTTTTTTTCTTTCCTTTAATGTAACACCTCCCAGTTCTACACATGTTGAGGGGCCTCGTCAGCGCCTTCTATGGTTCTTGTAACAGTGATGGAGAGTCAGATGTACTTTCTATCTTAGTGGGAATGTCATGGTGAACTGTACGCGTGTTTATGTTTGTCTCTTGGTTAAATTGTTTCTTGTGTGTGTGTGTGTGTGTGTGTGTGTGTATTTTCAGGTATTGTCATCATGCTACGTCCCATCTTTCCACCCCCTCTCTCTCTCTCTCTCTCTCTCTCTCTCTCTCTCTCTCTCTCTCTCTCTCTCTCTCTCGGCGTTAATTACACAACAACATGTAATTTAGAGAGTGTTTATTGTTGTGGCAAAATCTCCCCAACATCACTTTATAAAACCTTCTATTAAGATCCTCCCGAGGCGTGTGTACGTGTGTGTGTGTGTGTTTGTAGTGATCAGGTCGTCCTATAGTGATGATAAAAAGACGATCTGGTCGACCTCTGATGCTAGTGAGAGGGCGACGAGGTGAGAGGGCGACCCACTCACCCAGAGGCGTTGTCAAGAGAGGGGAGGGGTTAGGTCAGTCAGCTGTGGTATTTTATCGTGTGTGATTTATAGTTTGACCGTGTGAACACCTGGTCGACTACCTGCAATTCCCAAGTGGTTAGATTAAGAATGTTCGGTCTCCAGGTGCACAAGGGATATAGTCGAGGTAAATAACAATATATATAGTTAGTGAAATCTCAATATAACGGATTTCTCTCCATATATAATCCGTTAACTGGAGGGTTTCACGTCTAAAGGATCCTCGATATAACGGACTTCTATTTTTATGTAGTTAACTAGAGGGGGGTTTCACATCTAATGAACCCTCTATAACGGACTTTCCCCTATAACGGACTTTCCCCTCTATATAACGGACTTTCCCCTTTATATAGCGGACTTTCCCCTCTATGTAACGGACTCTCCCTATATAACGGACTTTCCCCTTTATATAACGGACTTTCCCCTCTATGTAACGGACTTTCATCTTTATATAACGGACTTTCCTAGCATTAGTGAGGCCACACATGGATTATGCGGTTCAGTTCTGGTGTCCTTATTATAGAATGGACATAGATTCTTTGGAGAGAGTACAAAGAAGAATGACAAAAATGATCCATAATATTAGAAACCTTCCATATGAAGAAAGACTGAAAAGCTTCTTACATTCATTAGAGGCGTAGAGTTAGGGGAGATATGATAACAAGTGGGTAAGTGGGATTAACAAGGGTAAAATGGAAGATGTTCTGAAGCTCAGTAATAACGAAATAACTAGAACAAATGGCTTTAAATTAGATAAATTCCGATTCAGAAAGGATATAGGCAAGCACTGGTTTGGTAATAGAGTTGTGGATATGTGGAATAGGGAGTGCTGTAGTAGGATCGGGGACGCTAGGATCAAGACGAAGTTGGATAGGCACATGGAAGTGCTGGGATGGGTGTGAAAGGGACTGTATGGGCCACTGCAGTATCCACTTTCTCTTATGTTATATAACGGACTTTCCTTCCTATATTCCGTTAAATAGAGGTTTCAGTGTAATTCATATATAAAGACATTTTCAGACTACCGTTAATGGTGAAGGGAGTTAAGGGAAAAGTGGATTTGAGAATTGTAAATATTTTTGTGTGTGTGTGATAAGCTGTGACGTATGACCCTGATGATGTGTTATGTTGACAATGTTTATGAAAATAGATGTTTACCTCTCAGTCTCTCATATCACATCCGCAATAAATGTGTGTGTGTGTAGAAGGGGTATGTGTGGTGATGAGTTTACGGGTGAGGGAGATGCTAGGGATAAGGGAGGGGGAGGGGGGTAGGGATGAGGGGGAGATGGGTAGGGATGAGGATGAGGGGTAGGGTTAAAGTGAAGGCAGGAGCTACATTATGGGTATACCATCTGTGGCCCCGGATCCTCCTTCCCATTACCCCCTCCCACGTCTTCCATCCCTCATCCACCCTTCCCATCTCTTGCCCTCTCCTTCCCATCCCTCACACGCCCCTCCTGACATCCTTAGTCCCTTATCATTCCTCTCTGTTATTGTTTTATTTTATTAGTAATATATCGGGTTTTCATCTTCTCTGCCTCTTTATCGAATTCTTGTCTTTATTCACCTTTCGTTACTCCTTCTGTTTCCTCACCCTTTCTCTGTTTAGTATCGTTTTTTCCCTCCTCCAGTCTTCTTTTTCCCCCTTCCTTCCCTTTCTCCATCAGTTTTCCTCCTCCTCCATCACTCCCTCCCCTTTCTCCTTCCATCAATTCCTCCCTTTCTCTTCCTCTCCTATTCCAGCGCCTTAAATCCCTGGCTGGTCTTCCTTTCACCCCGACCAGCGTGTGTTGATACAAGCTCTCACTTTTCCTGTGTTATAGATCATGACACTCGGCGGCGGCTCCTGAAGGCGAGGGTGGGTTCCTGAGGGCGGGGTGATGCTTGGAGACGCTGTAGAAGGCCTCTCCTGTCGTCCACTTACGTGTGTTGTCTTGGGTGGTTAGGGTCGTGGTGGTCGTAGATTACACGTGGTTTTGGCTTAATGGTCGTAGTTTGTATATGGTCGTCATCTCAAAACCTGTAATTTGTGGTGGTCGTCACGTGGTTTAAATTAACAGTTGGTTGTAGCCTACTGGTCGGAGCTCGTTTATCACCTTAGGCTCACCAGGTCGTAACTAGCATGAGGTGGTCGTAATGGTCTCGTCATGTCTGTACGTTCCTTGTGGTTGCAG